TGAAAAGGAGAGAAAGTAACAAGTTTCATAAAGACTCAATTTTTGAAAGTTGCGGAAAGTTAAGATTTTTAGAATAATTTAATAATTTGTATTTAAATAAAACCAGATAAAGAATTAGCAAGATATCTTTTAAGGAAGATAATACCTGTTTGGAAAAGTACTTTACAGAATTGTAATAAGAAATTCTGAAGATTTTATGCAAATTTTAATGAATTTTTCTAAGCAATGCACATCTTCAGATTCTAATTTATAATTTATAATTACGACTACTTTTGACCATACATGGGAACCTTACTTTTAAAAAGTAAAGAGTTGAAGTACTTTAGGCCAAGTAACGACTAAATAGTAAAAAGTTTTGATTCTGAAAAGTAACATGTAAAAAGTACAAGTTTGCAAAGCAAAATAAGTAATGATTTTAAAATACATTTCAAGGTAATCAAAAATTCATAGTAACCTTAATTTTCTTTAAAATATGTAATTTTAATTTAAAATGTATTGAATTTTAATTAGAATGTATAAAACTTTAAAATGCGTGAAAAAGTTACAAACTTCATTGAAGTAGTGAACGTCAAAAATATCCAAAAATCAAAATTCAATGTTTATTTGTCAAAAGAAGTTTTATTCATTTTAAAACTACCAAGAAGTTTTATTTTTATTAAAAGATATTATAATTTCTGTGAAGTTTTATTTTTATTAAAAGATATTATAATTCTTTAAGAACTTAGTTTAAAAAAATGTATTCATATGCACTGGTAACCCACTAAATTATGAATTATAAGTTAAAAGAAAATATTTTTAGAATTTTAAAAATGTCATTTTAATTTGTTATAAAGATATTTCATATTGAGTTCACTTACAATTAAAAATTGAGCACTAAAGTATTATTTTTAAATTTATTCATATGATGAACTAAGTGTTTAAATGGTAAAATTCGAAAAATAATAAAATATTGTTCTTATTTAAAATCAAAGAAGTAATAAAACTCTAGAATTTGGTTTCAAATTTATACTATATTTTAATTAAATGAAACAAATTTTAAATGGCATAAAATTTAAATTTTGTGAAAGAAATGTTTGGTTTAGTATCATCAAATAAATTATTGAAATTATTTAGAAAAACACATAAAGTTGCCAAAAATTTTGGTTGTTTAAGCATCACTACTTTTTAAGGGGAAAAAAACGTGTGCATCTAACAAAAGAAAAGTGAAACCCTCACCGATCTGAATTCATAAGACTTTCAACAGTTTGCCCCCCTCCCTCCAAAGGGATATCTAAGAAAAACAATGCCTCTGGCAAATCTCTAGTCCATGCCCTTTAACCCATTGGCAGTGTCGCCCAAATTCAGTTCAGGCAACTAATATGTGCATTTTTTGTAATGCTCATACTGACTTCGGGCAAGAGAAAAATTAACGTTTCTATTTTGTGAAGCCCGAACTGAGTTCGTTTCTACTTTAGGATACTTGTTCACTATTTTCCTAATAGGTGGTCCTAGTTTTTCACAGATTACGACTTCGATCGAGGGAGGGAAATGTGGGTGGGGTTTTTGGGATATACCATACTGTAAAATATTTGTAAAATTTATGTATTGAAAATCATATTGCTGTTTTTTTATATTATATTATGCTAGTAATATATTTAGCTTAAAAATTTTTGTTTAATTTGCTCTTATTGAATAAGATATGTGAGTAATCCACTACTTTTTTATGTGTACGTAAAAATTATAAATACAGTAGTTATTGCATTTAAAATTTTATTATTGCTGTAAAAAACAATTTTCTAACTTTTATAATAATATAAAGAGCAAAATTAAAGAGTAAAAAAAATGTTCAATTTTTCTGAAATATATGTCACTGTTAAGGGGTAAAAAGTATTATATTTTGTATTTTTTACTAATCAAAATAAAGGCATCATGTAAAGAATGTAATCATTTTGGCTATATAAAGATTATATTAATATAATCAAAAATTTGCAAATAACTATAATAATTCAAATTTTAATAAAAAGTTTTTCTAAGATAATAGGTTAAAAAAACGTTGCTCTGAGTTTTTTTTTTTAAAAAAAGGACAATCACTCAATTTAGAAATAAATATCACTCTTTATTAGAAATTAGACTAAAATTGTTGTCATTTGAAAAAGTAAAGATTTTTTGCTAACAGCAAAATAATAAAACTTTAAGAAAGTTCTGACTAAATGTATTCTGATCAAATCAAATAAAATTTGCTTAATATTATAAATTAAAGAGCTCAGTACAAAAACAATTACGACTGATTAAGGAAATTGCTCATTAAAGTAATTGTTAATCATTAAAAAACATCAGTAGCATCAGAAAAAAAAAACATAAATTTCAATATTTATATAACACTCTCCTTGCATTAAGAAAGGAAAAAAATTCCTTTCCTAAATTTTTAAAAATATTAAGGAGTTTAACGCTATTGTTTAAATTTATTGCAAAGAGCAATTTGAAAAGAATTGAACTAGTGATTAAAATTTTGCAAATTGCTATTAAAGATGCTTCTTTTTACTCTTTTTAAAAATCTGTATTATGCGCAAATTAAAAAAGTGAACTTTTCGGATAACTTTTGATCGAGTGATTAGATTTTCTTTTTTTGATTATTAGGACTCAATGGTTCCATGACTTAACCTTAAAAATGCTAGTTAATTAGTGCAGACATTATATTTTAAGTAAAGAAATCGGACATAAAAATGACTTTCTCTGAATATAATTTTTTTTTTCTCTGCGGATTTGGATTTGTGATATTCAAAATATGGGTTAACAGTAGTCTGGGAAATATAATGCCAATGTTAATAAAAAAAAAATTTGATTAAATAATGGCTGAAAAAAATTTGATTTCTAAGTATAAAAAATTCTTACATAATTTTAAAGTATCCAATTTTAAATGACAAAATTCAAACTTAATCGATCAAATAGTTCTTGAGAAATCAAATTTTGAATACACAATATTAAGATAAAGAGACTTTGAAGAACATTTCTGTGTCTTAACATAAGGGTAACCAATATGAAAGTTTGATGTGTTTTCTTCTGAACTTCCTAAAAAGAAAAGCAATAGTTTGCAACTCAGCACTATTCGTAGGACCAATGCCATGTAATAGACACTAAACCTCTTCATTATATATTTTTTTTACAAAGATTTGAATGCTTAGATTGAAACTTTTAAAGTTTTGAAATTAGTTGTTGTTTTCATAGTTAAGTATTTAGTTTCAATAACACTAAAGTGAGCAACGACAATATTTAATTGTAATATTAATTTTTGATTTATCAATGTCCAAATTTTAAAATGATTTCTCATAAGGATAATTGCTTGATGGATACAATTTTTAACCCAAATTAATGATTAAATTCCCAACATTCGTGTTGTATTAGTAACCAAGGATATCCACAGGGATTTTTTCAGGGGAAGATTTGAAATAGAAAAACATTAATCAAAATATTTAAAAAATCATGTAATATTTTTATTATAATAAATACTTTAATTTGTGTATTATCCTAAATTTTCAAATACAATTTCAATAATATGTTTAATTCTACTAACCAAAGGTTTTTAATATGAAGTTCAGTTATTTGATATTTTAACTTAATAGTAAAAATAAATAAATAAAAATTATTATACCCCAAATTTAGTATACACTATTGAAAAGTAAAAAAAAAAATTTTTACTGTTATATTTACAAAACTCAAATCTATAAGTTTTTTATGGCATTAAGTTAAAAAAAATCATTTTTATGTTATGAAATAAATTTCAAAAATTATTATAAAAAAATAACTATTAAAATAAAATAAAAAGTAACATTTAAAAATTACAAAATATAATTTTTATTAGATTTTAAAGGAGGGAGGATAAGTGCTCCTTTTTGATCCCTCCGTTGATGCCACACCATAGCTGGGCTAAAGAGAGAATAGAAGGACTAGGTCACTCCTTTGAAGAGACTTGCACCGCTCCGAGCTTCTGTTTTCAGTCAATGACGTCACAACGGCAATGCTTTTTTTTAGTATTTATTACAGGGATTACTCACCGTAGGTAACATCTTCTGTGGAGGAATGTTTTTTTTCTTCTTTCTCTCTAATTTAGAATAGGGATGAAATCTATTCTACAGATTTGACAAACGTTTTTTCAAAGAGATTTTCACAACTGATTAAATGGAAGATAAACAAGCATATCCAAAGATAAGTCTGAGAGCAGCTGGATATTGGGCTGGGGGACACCCTGGTGACTTTTGCATTCTTGGATTTCGGTTTCTCCAGGAAATAGCAGTCTTTTCCGACCAGTGAAGGGCTTGTACATACACCCCCCATCTTGGTTACACAGTTGCTTTTAATGAAAGGCTAGTGAGGAGATGAAGATGTTTGGTGACCTTGACTTTTAGCCTAGGATGTTGGAAGAGAAAATAGATTTGTCTGAAGAAAAACATCTAAACATTTTTAAATTAAAAAAAAAATTTATTGATTTCTTATAACATTTTCGTTACAAATGCTTGTACTTTTCCCCCAAAAAAATAATGAAAAAACAAGTAAACATATGTATTTTTAACTTTACTTTCCCTACTTGTAACGAAAGTAAAAGTATATTACCATGTATGCTTTTGGCTTACTTTAATTCATATTTTCTTCATCTCTTTAAAAAAATAAAGTTTAATCTTTTATTGGTTTAGAGCTCTTTTTTGTTTTTTTAAGAATGTAGGAAAAGTAATTACCTTTCGAATTCTTAAAAAATAAAGATTAGAGGTAATTGTGACTACTTATGGGTTAATTGTGATCATTAGCTGATGCAAATTTTGAAACTGTTGACTCAGTCTCTAGAAACCTTTATTATTGCCTTATCCTTTCCCACCCATTCCATAGACTGTAGGGCTTTTATTGAATCCTGACTCATTTGTAACGAATAAGCTTTATCTGATCCATTTTTAAAAATTTTAATTCATGTATAATTGGTCACTATAAAAGTTGTTAATTGAATAGAAAATAATTAATTAAGCTTGTTTCAGATTAGATTGGAATGCTCAAAAAAGACCTCTCAGCTTCAGTCATCAGGAAGTGTCATCTCAAAGAACTAAAAGTCAACTTCGTCATAGTTACAGTCAAAGAGAAGTGTCACATCATTCTCGTCATGAAAATGATTCTCTGCCAAGACCTTCGACTGATTTGAATATCAATCCTTCTGTAGCAAAGTCTACTCCAGTGTTAAAGAAAGAGTGTTGTAGAAGTAATTCAAACTCATCTAGTAGTTCGTTACAGTCCTCAGTGCAAGAATCTGGGGTATTTTATTTTCTGTTATATAATGTTTAATAGAACACTTCTAATTTTAATATTTTGGAATTAATATTTATGATTTTTTTATACACTTCTAGAAAAATATTATGGTGACCAGGCATTTTAAAAAAGGATCAGTTTATGATACTCTCGCTTCTGCTAGTGGCTTAGATTTTTCTCCAGTAATTCAACTCAAAAGTTTTAGTTCTCGTCGAGATGATACCAACACCCAGGCACAAGCTTCAAAAAGTGTTGAAACACCAAAGGAAATTAGTGTTACACATGATGATTACACATCAAAAATAAATGACGATACAAGTTCAAGTGAGAAGCAAGAATGTGATACTTCTAATCAAAAAAGAAATCAGCCTATCAAAAAAGAAATAAGTTCTGCTTGCATTGCTGCTCATGAAAAATTTCCCTCCTGGCCTGTGGTATCAGAATTATCTTCAGTTTCCCATCGATCACATTCCTGGATTGGACAAACTGATTATCCCAAGGAAAAGATTGTTTACTCTAGACCCAAAAAAGACCACCAATATAAAATATCAACTAATCAACTTCAACCTGTTCTAGAACGAGCTTCTGATAATCCTGCCAACTCCAAAAAATCCAGCGATTGGACGCATTTAAGAGATAGTTCTCAAATTTCTTGTCATAGTTCCATCAAAGACTGTAATGGGAAACAGTTTGACTTTGAAGCTTTTCACACACCCTGCATTCCTAAATGTTATGAAGGCAAAGACTGCGCTCCACCGTCCCCTCCAGAGCGAGATGGCTCATCAAATTCTGCCCATATTTCCAAAAGTAGTGGAATTCAACATAGACATGAAAGCTTGTTTGAGCATGATGTCTCTTGGAATAATCCTCAATCTAATACACCATTTTTAGACAGGTTAAGAATGGAAAATGTTTGGCCTCCGCCACCCCCAGTTCAAATTCACCAAGCAGCAGCAGCACCACCACCACCTCTTCTACAACAAGGAAATGATTCTGAGCTATCCAGTGAGAACGGTACGTGGATGGGTAGTATGGAAAGTAGTAGTCATGGAAGAGGTATTAATAAATGGCAAGGCTCTTATAGTGATTTGAGTACCTTAAGTACCCAGTTGTCCAATCGCAGCTCTCTATTTGACAGTGGTCACTCTACTATGCCTGAGAGTGGCCGTCTGTCACCACAATCTTCCTGTGATAGTTTGTTATTGGAGGGTCCAACTCGTGCTCAAGTTGTAGCTAGACATGGTCATCGTGAAATAGTTGCTCATAGTGCTAGAGTTCAACAACCTGAAAGACACGGCTCTGAGAGTGTTCTCTACTATGCAAAATCTTGCAGGCCCATTGATTCTGTTAACAAGAATCTTGAAAACCCTAAGAACTCTACGACTGATGATGCAATGTTTCGAAGTCACGCTTCTCTAACTTTAAATGCTGTGCACAATAATAATGACATAGAAAACAAAACTTGTAAACGTCCTGCTAGACAAGATTCTAAAACCAGTCATAATTCCTCAACAGAGTCTCGATGTTTGAATGATTCTGGATTATTAGATGCTGGTAAAGCTGCAAACCTGTTAAATTACAAAAATTTAGAAAAATATTCATCAGGAAATGTTCATAGTGGATCATTTACTAAATATAAGCCACCAAAATCTAAAAGTATAGATGAGAGCTCACGGAAACCTACAATTCCTGAAAGGAGACAACGGGCTTCTGATCCAGAATTAAAAGCCTTTCAAAAACAAGCTGTTCTTTCATTTTATCAAAGAATGTCTTTAGCTGAATCAACAAAATCTGAATCTCTTGCTAAGCTTAGAGTACCTAAATTATCTTTACCTTCTAACAATAAAACACCCAATAACCCATATGTTCAAGAGAAGCCCTCAGATAGTGGTTTATTGAACAATTATAGCAAATCAGTTCCCAATTTAATGATACTTAAAGGTCAAAATTTTGATTTGCCTCCTAGTCATCCTTTTTTTAAACAAGCAAGTGATCAGAAAAAAATGTTTCCTATGGTAAAAGATGAAATCATATCATGGAATCAACTTCCAAATGTTTTTGAGAAAAAGACAGATTCTATGGTAAGCATTTTATAACTTTTTAAATTTTTGTTATTGTATTGAAATATTTTATTTGTTCACCTGGCATGACTTTTTTAGGGTTAATACAAACTCTGGAAAAATATTTATTTTTGGTATAAATATCTCTAAGTTTTGAACCAATTTTGATGTGATATAACTTTGTGGTTTTATTTTTCTGATAGCAAAATTTTCAATTCTTCATGATTTTTGAGGAAAGCTTATTTAATAAAATAAAAATGTCTGTAAATATCAGCTGTATCAGTAGGAGTTACTCTAGGATTCAGTGCTGTAAAAATCTTGGCTTTATCTGAAAAAGGCCAAGCAGGCCTATTTTTTATGTAAAAAGATCAGTCTTTTTTTTTTTTTTTTTAAATAGCTGGTCTTTTATATTTTATTAAAGTTAATATACTTCTATTTAAAATTATTTTATAAAATTCTTTAACAATGGGTAGTAGTTATTAAGTACATACTTCCTAAAATTGTTTCATTTTCATGCTAAATCCATTCTGCTTGAAAATAAGCAGGTATCAAAGCATTGCATGATAAAATCTGACATCAATGACATTAATTTTTATAGTAGGTAGTATAAATTTTTTTTTCTTCAAATTATTTAAAACTATTTCAAAATGATGTACTAATGGTACATAAATTGTTTGATGAAGTAAATTTTAAATGTAAGATGTATGTAATTCCTGAAGGTAGTTTGATTGATGAGGAAGAATAGGAATTATTACCATTAAATGGATATAAAGTGCAGCTTGGAGCTGAGTAATAAAATATCCGAAATAGAGGAAAAAAGATCAAAAACAATTTTGTGGGATTTCTCAAGAGTTTTATGTGGCAGGATACACCAGGGTTGGCTTTTTGCGGCAGAAACTGGTTTTTGCCATGCCAGTGGCAGAAACTGGTTATAACCGGTAAAAACTGGCTAAAACTAAACAAACGTCTATATTAGTTCTAGTAATTGCTTAATAACATTTTGTTTAAGTAAACTGCAAAATGTAACTCCATATAACTGTAACAAACTTTTTAATTCATTGTTTGTAAATATATATTATTTTGTTGATATTAAATATAAAGAGTGCAATATATCAAATATTTATAACAAATCGGCCCCACAAAACAAAGTAAACAAATCGGCCCCATTTCCTGAAACTTATTTTTCCAGTCAAGTTTTGACAACTATCCCAGCTGCTACATGGCGGTCCAGTTTTAAAAAATATGCAATAGATGAAAGTTTCACAAATCTTGCTTGTTCCTTGATGGCAATGCCTGATAGTTCTGCTGGACTTGAGAGAATCTGCTCAAATTTCTCTTTCGTGCATAGCAAATTGAGAAATTTTTTAGGTTTAGAAACTGCATCAAAACTTGTCTTTTGTTAAAGATTAATGCAGAGTGCAGACAATGTAATATTTGATTTTGAATGGTGATAATTTTGTAAATAAATTGTACGTTGTTTAGCATTTAATTGTTTTTTTCTATGAATTATCTATTGTATGTCAATCTCAGTACTTACTTTTATGTCATTTTCTGAATTTCTGCTATGCCACTTTTAGCCGGTTTCTACCAGTGGTTTTAACCACCTCGGCAGAAACTTGCCAACCTTGGGATACACATAGTTAAAAATACAAGGAATTATTTTAACCGGTCTTCGATGTTTGGATATAGGCAATTTTAAGTCAGCTTTCACAAAGTTTAATTCATTGCATGGATTTACCCTTAACCATGGGCATTTACTGCCTTTTAGATGTGTTAAGAGTTTAGAAATTTGAGGAAATTCGAAAACTTGAAGATAGTTCTATTGACCAATATTGGCCAGAATTTATTTTGTCAAAAGTACAACTAATGAAGTTAAATTTACTGTTAGTCAAGTAATGAAGGCCAATGTTAGCCTTTTTAAATGACAGGACTGCAATTGAATAAAGATTTTCTTCCTCTGACATTGTTTTCACATCCGAAAAACTGCTATCACAAAAAAAGGCTTATGAAAATTTTGATATCTTGATATGAAAAAATTTGACAATGAAATTCAGTTCCTATTATGAAGGAATTCATTTTGTTAGCATCTAATGCTTACCAAAGCTACAAGAACTGCATGGAAAATTTGATGCAAACTGATGAAATGAAAGAAAGAGATTTAAGATGAAAAAATAAGATTAAAAGTGAAAAGTGAATTAGTTGCAGAATTCAATGAACTTGATCTAGTCTTAAATTAGAAAAATTTTTTTAAAAGAACAAATTTTTTAAACAATCAACTCAAAACTAAAGCAGGTAATTCACTGTTTATTGCTTTTGCTTTTCAACTTAAAGCAATTCTAATAGGGTAAATACACCGAAGATTTATTACTATTATTAGTGAATATAACCTTTTTCTCGTTTTCTTGATGGCACAGGAAAACTACTCAATAATTACCAAGGGGTAAGTAACAAAAATATATTTAAATCTTTAACATGATGAACACGGTACAATGGTTGACAATGCTACTACTACATTACAATGTGGCGGTTCCCAGGCGGTTCTTGCTTTTTACAAAATCTTTCTTTGCAGTTACGGTTACAATCTAATGATAAACTCCGCCATCTATCGGTGGTTCAATAACAAGTATTTCTATAATTGCCCTTTTTTTAAAAAAAGTGTGGAGGTATTATTTGTTTAGTAATGTAATTAAATTTTTATGTTTATTTTTGTGAAAACTTGAATAACTTATACAAAAACATGGTTTTGGGCATAAATTATCAAGTTTTCGCAGATCTCTAGTTGTTTCAAGTCAGTGTTTATACATTATTTTTATTAGGTGTATCTATATAGTGAGTATTGAATATTACTGTTAAATAGCTGCCAAGTTTTATGCCTTTTGTGTAAAATTTCATTTTTACATTTAAATTGATAGTAAATTTTATGCTTTCTAATTCTTTCTTGGATTTTTAAATTTAATTTAAAATGATTTTGACCACCACTTTATATAAATAGATTAATATTTATACAAGTCTGTGATAATTATACAATGTTTTTGAATTCTGTACCAAATAAAACAGATATTTCTGTTTATAATTAAATTTTTATTTTACTACTTCTAAGGAATATCATCCTCGGAGAGCATTAAAGGTTGCAGGCCAGGGGTCAGTCCAGTGTATATTTACTACTGTTTAGTGGTACCTTCACAAATTCAACTTTAGAAAAAATGGTAGTTTCACAAAATACTTTTACTATAGCAAGTTCTCGTGCAAACCCCATTCTCGTTGCTCTCTAAGGAAAAGAGAACCTTTTTTGCTAGCTGTCTTTTACAAAAAGGTCGCACGTGTTTTGTCAGATAGCACAATGTGGTAAACCTAACCGATCGCTCGCTCCATATCAAAGAGCGCTTTTTTCCCTCTGAGTTTTTAAAAAATGAAGCAACAAGGGTCTCCCTCTATAAACTTTACAGGAAGTTAAAATTTGAACATTATTCTAAACACTCAAACATTATCTTAAACACTATTGTAAATTTATTCTAACAGACCTTTATTTTTAAAAAAAACATTTTTATCTCTGTGAAACTTTTTTTCTGTGTGACCTAGTCGAAAATTCTCATAATGATAATAACTTTTAGTGCTAGTAATGCATGTTTTTATTAAATTCAAGTTGAAATTGATCTATGGAGAATAATTCTTATGGATTTTTAAATTTAGATGCAATTTTAAGCCTACAATTTTACAATAGCAAAATTATCTTTTTTATATGGGGAAAAATATACAGATATTTACCAGTCATAAATGATTTTTATTTGTTGTGATAATTTTTGAGAATATTTTCTTACTTTACCACATTTTTGTGTTTATTTTTTAAAATAATTTTTAATTTTCACAAATTATGTCTAAATTTTCACAAAATAGGTACAAAAAAAAAAAAAAAAAACAGCTTTTAAAAAATTGGTCCCTGTTTTTTTAAAAAGAGTCCCTTTTATAATTTTTGTTCCCTACACCTATTGTTTAAAGCCGCTGAACACCCTGTGTTTCTAAAACACAAATGGTCTACCTGCCTGTGACTTAGAGCTGCTATTGTTCAATGGTTAAGGCACATGGCTGTCATTTTGAAAAACTGGGTTTCAAATCCCTGCGGCAGCTTGAAGCCTTCCTAGCTTAAAACCAATGGGTACCAGCTTGTCTGGGAAATAAAGGTAACTTGTGCGCAATGCTGACCACATAACTTCAATCATGCCATTGGTCACGAAATTGTGGAGCCCTAATATAATTTAAGATAATATAAAAAATATGATTGATTTCATCCCAATATTTGCAAATGCAACTGTTTGAAAGGGAAAAAAAACCTTTTTTTTCCGCAGGGAAAACTATACTGCCTATTCCGACAGTTAGCTAAACATAAAGGTAATGCAAATATCAATTTGCTGTTCAGGTGTCACTCTTTTTCTTTTTTTACTTAAGTATAGAATGAATACGTAAAAATCATAAAATGAACGAAAGTAAAGAATACGAACGAAAGAATACGAAGAAAAATTGTTATTTGAATCTATCACACATGCCAAGTAATAAATGAAGCAAAAAAACTTTCCAAAACATTTAAGAGTTACACAGTGGACTGATCGTTAAGGCACTGTTCCCAGTAGAACACTGAAGTCAAGCATCAGTGGCTGCGGTCAGTGGTGGGTGACCACTTGGATCAATCTACGAAGGGTCCCAGGGTGAGCGGTATTGGTCCTCGTTAAACTGTTCTACCGTAAAGTGCTCGACTTCGCTCACAGGTAGTCGGGCTACCAAAGCAGGAGAGCCATTCCCTCTGCAGAGAATCAAAATTGAGAGGGCAGGTATGTTTACCAGATCGTCTTCAATAGCCCATTGTGTAGCTCTAGTGCAACGTAAATAAACTACTACAACAACAACAAAACATTTAAGAAAGAAAGGAAGAAATAAATAAATAAATAATAAAAAATAGCTAGCTACTTGCTGGAGTGGGACATACTGTCTCTTGGAAATATTTGGGGTACATCCATATTTAGGGGAAA